TGGTAAAAACAGTAGATGGAGGCCTTGTTTGGGAATATAACATTAGCTAGTCTCAACAATGGCTTTTAGCTATCTTAATTCTGCAGTCCTCCACAACAATTGAATTGGAACAATTAGAATCTGTATGGTGGGCCTCCCACTACCCTGGTTATAAGCACAGTCTTTCACCCACCATTCTCAGTCTAAAGTTAGCTTCACATTTGAATTTTCTGTTCCACCTTAACACTCTGGTGCATTTAGGCACACAATTACATTTTAAGTAACATTTTGAAACCATTATTTCATAATTACATGAAACATAACTGCATTTCTGGAAATACATTTCAATGTTAATAAAGCTACTCATAAGTCTTTGTGTAAATGAAATACTAGTATTACTGTATTAAATGGCAAATTAAGATTTCATTTTGAGCCCAAAATTGCATATATGAGTGAGAAATTTTAATTATACTCTATATGGCCAAAAGTATGTTAAAATCTTATAAATATTTTATAAATATTATAAAATCAAGTACATAGCCATGCAATCTCCATAGAAAAACACTGGCAGTAAAATGGATCATACTGAGGAGCTCAGTGACTTTAAATGTGATACTGCCATAGGAGGCCACCTTTGCCACAAGTTAGTTTGTGAAATGTTTGCCCGGCTAGATCTGCCATGATCAACTGTCAGTGCTATTATTGTGAAATGGAAGCATCTAAAAGCAACAACAACTCAGCCACAAAGTGAGAGACCATGCAGAACTGGGCCAGCAAGTGTGTAAAAATCACCTCTTCTCTGTTGCATCACTCCCTACAGAGTTCCAGACCAACTCTCAAAGCAACATCAGCACAAGAACTGTGTGTCAGGAGCTTCAGGAAATGGGTTTCTATGGCCGAGCAGCTACAAAGATGCCTAGGATCACTATGCACAATGCTAGAGTGCACATCACCATTGGACTCTGGAGCTGTGCAAGTGTGTCCTCTGGAATGATAAATCATGCTTCACAATCTGGAAGTCTGATGGATGAATCTGGGTTTAGCAGATGTCAGGAGAACGCTATGTACAAGAATGTGTAGTGCCAACAGTAAAGTTTGGTGGAGGAGGGATAATGGTCTGGGGCTGTTTTTTAGGGTTAGGGCCCCTTAGTTGAAGTGAGTTAATGTTAATTCTACAGCATTCAGAGACATTTTAGACAATTATATGCTTTTAACTTTGTAGTAACAGTTTGGGGAAGGCCTTTTCCTGTTCCAGCATGACTGAGCCCCTGTGCATAAAGCAAGGTTCATAAAGACATGGTTTGATCGGTTTGGTGTGGAGGATCTACAGTGGCCTGCACAGAGTCCTGACCTCAACCCCACTGAACACCTTTACGATGCACTGGAACATCAATTGTGAGTCAGGCCTTCTCGTCCAACATCAGTGTCTGACCTCACAAATGCTCTTTTTATTGAATGGACACAAATTCCCACAAACACACTCCAAAATCTTGTAGAAAAAACCGTCTCTGAAAGGTGGAGTTGTTGTAGCTGCAATGGGGGCAACTCCATATTAATGTCTATGGTATCAGGATGGGATGTTCAACAAACTCATGTAGACGTGATGCTCAGGTGCCCTTATACTTTTGCCCATATTGTGCACAAATACATTGTTATTTTGCATATTACATTTTTATTTTAATTTTGCTACTGATGTGCTGTCATATTTAGGTACTGTAAGTGGAGTAAATGTAATTTTTTACTTTAAACCTCTGCCAAACACACCATGAAACATTCCATAGAAGCAATGAGTACAAATGGTTGTAGCTGCTCATTAAATCTTAAGATAAAGTGGCAGAACACCAGAAAAAAACATGAGCATAGTAATGTTGGACAATATGCAAAGCGTGATGAGTGTTATGTGTCTCAGTCTGAGTTTGTTTCCTGTTCTGGGGTTGACGCTTAACAAATGCCTCATAGTAATGCTTTCTACTGCATTGCTTAATTTCTCTGCATAATGCACACCATTACAGTAACAGTGTAATTCCTTGAATTTATCATGCCCATCCAGCACTGTTACTGTAATGGTGTGCATTATGCAGAGGGGCTTGTTTAAAGGAAAGTCTGCTCAATTCTAAAATCATTAAGCGTATTTCCTGCCGTCATTGAGCGACGTTAATCACCTGATCCCAAAAACAAATGCAGAGAACAGAGGAGTGTCATCGGTTTAATCTGTCAAACTGTATGAGGTTAAACTGTGTTGCTGACCCCTTCGTACATCTTCCTTTTTTATTTTCATCCTTTCTTTTATCAAGCACACAGCATACAGTAGTTCTCATTAGTTGAGTTTAAAACTGTATTACTTTGAGGAGCCACTCCACATTTAAGAGCATCATTTAGGAACTTCCTGCCATTTCATCAATCACTTTTTTTCTGTAGACAGATACATTTGCTTTAGCATAATAAAAATGTATGTTTTACCATAATGAAAATCTGACCCATGCCCAAAGAGTAGGGTGACACTGATCCATTATTGCGTTTCCATCAGAATCATCATGTTGGTTAAGGTTGAAAGTTCAATGTCAATTTCGTGAAAGCAGCTCCAAATGTTTGCCACAATGATGCTGAATGTACTTTCCTTTATGGCTGACTATAAGATGAAAATCACCAGCTTGCACAGCTGGCAGTAATGACAGTGAAAATACACTGATTTATAATAGAGCGCAAGACCATTTAACGGGCACCCCAAAGTGAACTCTCTCACGTGTCCTGCTCCTCAACTTCTCCTCACAGCTCACTGCTGTCTCTATAAGAGGTAAGAAATATTCCAAACATTCCCAACATAATTTTTGACATGTATTCTTAAAGTACACCTGGTTAAAAACACAGCGTAAAAACTTTATTTTTTAGAGCACCAAAAGAAAAAAAAAAAGATCAGAATTTGATGGTTATAATGAATTTGACAACACAAATATAATAATTTCTTAAATAAATTTTCATGTAGTCTCACAAATGATGATATATTAGGAGAATAATATTTCTACTAATTCAGCATTCATTTTAACTAAAAGCTTAAATAACTCGCTTTCTTCTTTATCACCAATCTCTATCAGACCTGCTGCTTCAGGCCTGTCGGTCTTCTTCAGCTTTTTTCTCTCTCTCTTTCCTCATTTGTGTTTAATAACATATTATTTATACTGAACTTAGATTTACAACACAAGCAACAATGTGACATCAATCAATGGCAAAAATCTCACTTGACTTGCCATCTACAGAGGTGCCAAGTCTTAATTTCCATCTACAGGTTGAGGAATTGAGGTATATAAAACTGTGTTATGACCAACATGTGACCTTGCGACCTTTCCACTGATATTAACTTATACAAACAACAATATATGGCTAAATCTAGTGGGACTGTTTTTAAATACTGTGATCTCGGCGTAGAGTAAGTCGTAGGGAACATTGCACTGTAACCCCTTACAAGGCCAGGGCTGTTAGGCCCAAAGTTGCATTACACACTTCTATAACCTAAGAATAGCTCAGCCAGTCTGCACTTCAGCGCTTCTGAAACAGCCAAGATAGCACTCACTTCTAGCCATATGCTGTCTGTTCAAAGTAGACAGTAAACCCACACAAACTAACCCACAGCCCAGCACAGAGTGACGCAAATCACGCATATACACATCCTGAACTAACAGTAACAGTAACTGAGCTGATATATGTCTGCTTTTGAAATAACAGAGAGAGAAAGAGAAATAATCTTACTTCAGTCCTTCTTGCACAACAACAGACTCAAACGAATCCAAATATCTTGCTTTTATTTTTCAGGGCACCCAAGGAGAAAGATCTCGTGAAGTGAGCCAGTTATTCGGTGTTTTACTGATAATTTGTGCAAGTGAGTCTTTTTGCAGAACTGAAAAAGTCTTTATAAAGCGTAAATACTGTGGTGTCGGCGTAGAACAAGAAGCGGGGAACATTGCACTGTAACTCCTTATAAGGCCAGGGCCTGAATCTGAATGACGGAAAGTTGTTTTAGGCCAGTGGATGTTTGTTATCTGGGAAGCGATAACAACACCTCTAAAAGCTCCCTCACAGAAAGTTATTACATAGAAAGGTTACAAATACACTGCCTGATGTCTGAGACATTATTTTATGATAGTTTAGGCTTTGTTAAATGTGTTTTAATCCACTCATGGCAGAAGGAGACATGCAGGGTGTTGTGACGCAAAATACTTCCCAAAGAATTCTTATTTTTTCAGATTGACCACTATTTTACCATCATCAACATTACATATAGAAGCTCAGAAGGCATGTGTAGGGTTACTGGTGGTTTTGGATAGTAAATGAAATAGTCATGGTGACCCCAGTTCCTAAAAAAGTCTGTAAGTTTCTCTACAGTGAACCAGTCTCACACCAAACCACTCAGAATCACTGTTTATATCTCAACCACTGAATTATTCTGAAATTTTGAAAAATTGGAGGAATTCCCCTTTTAGACACAACGCCATTATAACAGCGGTAAATTGTCAGCATATCAATGTTGGACATTATCACATTTTTGTTTGGTAATGAGTTATTAAAGTTTTATGTATCAGTGTTAGTTTTCCCCTGTATTCAGATCAATGCTGAATAAACGCCTCATAGTTGTGGTCACTGCTTGTAGCCCCCCAACACACACCCGCAGATTCATCAAGCCCATCTAAGACGACAGTCGCTTCTGTATAATCCTGTATTATTGTGTGGCTCACTGCAGGGGGGCTTATTTGAAGGAACGTACCTATAGGAGCTGGTATAGGCAAGACTTTCTACTGACAGACACATAATGGGAGCTGTGAGACCCAATCAGATTCCACTTTGCTCTAACAGACGTCTTATTGGTCCAAGCAGAGTTTCACAGACATTTCTACAGTCTTTTAGTTCCACATTTCCATTAGAAGACGGGCATCACAAGATACTGATGTCTGACTACACCTCTTAACCTAATGGCATCAAAAAGTTCAATTTGCAGACTGAACAACAAAGATACGAAGAGTGTTTCCTACCTTCATTAAGCGACGTTCATCTCCTGAACCCAAGGAACGAATGTAGAGAACAGGAAGAGCTTTTGCAGTTAAACTGTCAAACTGTGTGAGGTTAAGCTGCATTGCTGCCTCTTTCACACATTCTTCCTTTTTCGCAGACGTGGTCTTTCCTTCCTGCCTTCAAGTACACATACAGCATTTTTATTAGTTGAGCTAAAATTGTATTTGTACTCATTGCTAAAAAGGCAGATAAGAGATTTTAAAGGTTCCCCTTATTTTAGCACTTACATTGTTTTCTATAGGGTAGGCCGTATTTTAGCAGCTACATTTGCTTTCACAGACAAAAAAAATGCAAGAGGTTCACTGAGGACTGGACAGAATGGGATTCTGAGGAACGTTTATAAGTAAAAACACAAAATAATCAGCATGTAGAAGAAGTTTTGTCTAGTTCAGTGCTATGATTTCCTGTGCCTGGAGTTCAGAATTAGTCTCAGGCTAATATGCTATGAGGAAGGAAAACAGGGTTATTATAACTCAGCACTGACTTTGGTTTCTACTTCACATTTCAGTCAAATAGAGCTGCAGCACAGCATACGTAGATTTAGTGCTTAGTTTTCAAGCAGAAGATTTGACACAGATAGGTTTGCTTTAACTATTCTAATCTGCTCTCTCTCTCTCTGCATGCTGGTTTGTGGTTCTTTCTCTTGTGAGTGGCCTCTGTGGTGATTCAATCTGCCGCAGGGCCTGATGATCCGGTTCTACACAGTGACCATAAACTGAGTCCATCCCCCATTACTGTCTGGTTTGGTTCCACCACCTCACAAGAGCCAAATTCTGATAATTTTTCCCATTTTTCACAATTTACTTTAAATGCTTCAGATCATCCAACCACTTTTAATATAAGATGAAGACAACACAAAATGCAGCTTCTAAATGATCATTCCATTTATTGAAGATTATTCAAAGCCATTCAAAACTACCATGTGAAATAGTAATTGCCCCCCTGAACCTAATAACTGGTTGTGCCACCTTCGGCAGCAACAAATGCAATCAAATGTTTGTGATAACTTGTGATGAGTCTTTTACATCACTGGGGAGGAATTCTGGCCCACTCTTCTTTGCAGAATTGTTTTAATTTGGCTACACTGGAGAGTTTTTGAACATGACATGTCCATTTAAGGTCTTGCTAAAGCATCTCAATGGGATTCATATCAGGACTTTTACCCTACCACTCCAAAATCTTAATTTTGTTTCTTTTGAGCCATTCAGAGGTGGACTTGCTTGTGTGCTTTGGATCATTGTCCTGTTGCAATACCCGACTGAGCTTAAGCTTTAGCTCACAAACCGATGGGCGAAAAATCTCCTTCAGGTTTTTCTGACAGAGAGCAGAATTCATGGTTCCATCAATTATGACAAGTAATTCAGGTCCTGAAGAAGCAAAGCAGCCCCAGACCATCACACTACCACCACCATGTGTGACTGTTGATATGATGTTCTTATGATGGAATGTGGTGTTGGCTTTACACCAGATGTAACGGGACCCATGTCTTCCACCTATAACTCATCAGTCCAGAGAATATTATCCCAAAAGTCTTGGGGGTCATCTAGATTTTTTTTGGCAAAAGCAAATGAGCCTTTCTGTTCTTTCTGGTCAGCAGTACTTTACACCTTCTCCCATAAATGCCATTTTTGCCCAGTGTCTTTCTTGTGGAATTGTTTATCTGGGTTCTTATGTGACCTCCTGGATGAGTCATCGACATGCTTTTGGTGAAATTGTGGTAGGTTGGCCACTCCTGGGGTTCACTACTGTTCCAATTTTTCTCCTTTTGTGTTTAATTGCTCTCACTGTGGTTCACTGATTACTGAAGGCTTTGTAACCCTTTCCAGTAGATTTCAAAGACTTTTTTTCCACATCTGTATTTGAATCTCTTTAGTACGTGGCATCATGTGCTGCTTTTTGAGACCTTCTAGCCTGCTTCATATTGCCAGACAGGTTCTGTTTAAGTGATGTTTAGATTCAACAGGTTTGTTTAGTGAAACTGAACCCAACGGTGAGCTGGTTGATTTAGTAGCTAAGAGGGCAATTACTTTTCACATAGGCCCAGGTAGAGCTGAACAGCATTTTTCCTTCAATAAATTAAAATCATCATTTAAAAACAGCATTTTTGTTTACGTGGGTTATCTGTCGAATATTAAAAGTAATTTGATGATATGAGACATTCAAGTGTGGCAAATATGCAAAATATAAGAAATTGGGAAGGAGCTAATACTTTCTCACAGTACTGTTTGTCATCTGTTAGTTTGAGAATGAGCTGCAGAAACTTGCAGTATTTTTAATTAGTTTGAACTGTTTACAGATCCATAATAACAAACATTTAATTATGGAGCACATCACTCAGCTACAGTTAGAGCTCTCTCTCTCTCTTCTCAGACTTCATTGGGAGGATGTGTTAAGTCTGAGTGGTTTCCATGGTGACAGTTAGTCAGTGTGAGTTTTTCACAGTCTGGAAAAAACACAGGAACTAACAGAGACACACCCTGGTGAAGAGCTTGAGGCTGAAACACTGTCCAAAGTGGAGACGCTGCTGTAGCTTAAAGTCTATCAATTTCAGCATCTACAAAACACTCATCAGTACAAGTGGATTCACTCACAAACAACACTAAATTTATAAAGATATAAATGATAAATAGAGCCCTAGCCCTATTAGGTGTGTTTTTTCCCTGTTTTTATCAGTTCCTCTTTCAGTTGTTGTAACTTTAGTAAATATTGAGACAGCCACATGTTATATGTTGTTTTTGTTTCAGAAGACATGTGGCTTCTCAAATATGTAATCACCTGCATTGAAAATGCCAACAGAAGTTTGATATTTTTATGAAACTGGACATGTTTTGATCAAAAATTTTACCAAGTGCCTGTTTTTTTTTACTTATTTTTGACTATCAATTAAAAAAAAAAAAATCAATGCACAGCTTAGATGTCAATTAGAGAGTTTTAGAATAAAGGGTCTATGAGTGGAAAATATAAGAATTTTGATGATTGTTCATTACATGGCTTATTACTGTGACAAAGTATGTGAGTAGCATCAGGCGGACTTATTTTTCTTAATATTCTCACCTGTAGGATACATACAGATTGCTAAAACTGCATGTGACAGACTGACACTGCAGGTCAAGCCTTTGGGTTTTTTGTTCAGGGCCAATATGGCTAATATTCCAGCTAATAAAACACTGTTTTAGTACACTGGGTGTTTATTATCAGCTGCTTATAATAGCAGTTACTCTTATAATAAACAGTCCTCCCACAAAGTGATTAGATAAATGGTTTATTTATAAAACACACAATAAAGAACTATGTACAAAAATATTAAGTCGAAATCTATATAAATAAAATGGTACAAAAAAAAAGAATGTAAACTGTATACACAAACAAAGTGCAAAGTCTTTTTTCCTTCTGGGAAGGCCTAGGGAGATGTCATCTGGGAGTGCCATTTGAAGAAGCAATTCTTTGCAAGAGAGCCACATAGTGGCACATCCCAGTGTTTGCACTGCCATGAGGTGTCACTTCTTTGTCTCTCCTTCAAGCATTGTTTGCACCTTTTGCGCCCATCCATCCTCTCAATCTTGTGGCCTGGCGCTGGCGAGGGTGGTAGACTCTTCAGCTCAATGTTGCACAGCTCAGCACACAGCCTTTTTCTGAAGTCCAGGTGCATCATTGGGGTTTGTGATCTGAAATTACAGTGCTCTTTGTATAGGAGGTATGAGTTAATGATTGCCATGTCTAGAAAAAGGAAGAAAAATGTCTTGTACCACCTGTAGGTCTTCCTCAGAGTGGTGTAGTTCTGAAGCCTTTGGTTGGACAAGTCAACTCCACCATGTATTTGTTACAGTCTCTGATTGCCTCAGGAATGTGAAATTGTTCGACCTGCCATGTTCCATCTGCTTTCTTTTGTCTTCTGGAGACCACATTCCCAGCAAAGGCTTTGTGGGCGGTGGAGCACATGGAGACTTCTTTGGTGTCCAGCCACTTCACAAATAGTAGTGCACCATCCCTGATCCACCTCAGGCTGCCCTGCTCAGATTTTTTTTTGTCAGAGAGTTGACTTGAGTTTTTGGGAATCCTATTCTGTTGTCTCTGACTGTGCTGCAGGCACCAAACTTCATTTTGAAGAGGTCCTTGAACAGAGTGGGACTTGTATAGAAGTTGTCACAGTACAGAATGTATCCAGATCCAAGAAAGCTGGGTTTCATGAGGTAAACTACTGAATCGTAGCTGAGACCAAGGCCAGTTTTGTAGATGTCTTTGCCAGTGTAAACTGTAAAGTCGCATGTGTATCCATTTGCCGAGTCACACAGGACAAACGGTTTATAGCCCCATTTGTGTGGTTTGTCCTTCATGTACATCTTCAGTCCCGACCTTGCTTTTGTTGGAACCAACCTTTCATCAATGCAGACATGCTTCCGTGGATGGCAGAATGCTTTACAAGCAATCTTCATACTGTCCATCAGAGGCCTGATTTTTCCCAGCCTGTCGTACTCTGCGGTTCCCCTTTTGGCGTTATTCAGGCTATCTGAAGCTGGGTCATTGATGTGCAGGCTCCAGCTGATGGCCTAGAACCTGTCCTTTGTCATCACTTTCCTTATAAAAAGAATCTGCCACACATTGTCCATCTTCCAGTAATCTTTGATTGAGGGACAATGAACAATGCCCATGAACACAAGGATTCCACAAAAGTTGAGGAACTCTGTAAATCCCACAGGTTGCCATTTATATTTCTTCCCCTTTATTTCAGCTTGTTTGTTAGTATTGTTGCACATGGTAGCCATCACCATCCTGGGAAAAAAAGCTGAAAAAGCTGTAATCTTGTGTAAAGTCAAGTAGTGACCCTGGAGTGCGGGCAGGACAAAATTTATGCTGAAAAGGCTCGGTATCCTCTTCATCCTCATTCATCCACCTCTCTGGTCCTTGGATGATAGGTGGAGTGGGGGTGCTTGCTCGCCATACTGGAGGACTGACCTGTTCTGCAGATGTAACACAAGAGA